CTAGTTATTTATCAGAACCGGGGGATTTAAGTTTCATTTTTAAGAATAATAGTGAAAGATCTCTTTGTTAAAATACATGACTGCCAAAGCATCACATGCCATCTCTTTCTGAGGCAAGAGACAATTTGCAGGTTTTGACAGGTGTGATTAAAGCCTTTATTTTTAAATTTAAACATGTCCTATAGAAACTCCAATCTCAGTGATATGCCTCCCCTTCCCTTCCACCCATTCCAGGTGGATTATTTTGGTACCAGTCAATGACTCTTGGTCAGTGGCTGGTTGCTGGCATCCCTTGCACGGCTTCTGTGCCTTAGGGAGCTGTTGGAATGCTGTGCGTGTGACTGCCTGTAAGGCAGGGGGGTGGGAAGGACACCCAGGGACCTGTCAGCTCTGCTTAGATGTTATGTGGGAATGACCTCTTTCGACCTCCTGCCTGAAATCTGGAGCTGGGCACTGTGGAACTCACAGGAGCACATCAGTGCTCTTCCAACCACTCCCTGCTTCTCAGAGCCTCAGTGTCGTTGCTGCCCATGGTGGTTCCCATCACAGCATTTCCATTTCTGGGTTACTGAGAGAGATGGGGTTCTTTTTCTGCTCTACTGTAACATGCTGCAACGACTCAGTCAGGGTAAGGGCTCTGGAAGGAACCCAAAGGAAGGGAGTGTTTTGTTCAGCTGGTAACTCTTGTTCTTTGCCCTTCATCACTAAACTGGATGCCATCCACATCTTTTCCAAAAGTGCATTGCTTTCCGTGGCCTTTCTGTAATGGGCTGGCCATCCCCAACAAGGAATGTAAAGGGATTGAGGCAGCTGGATATGGGCTGGGTGAGGGGAGCCAGAAGTGGTGATAATATAGCATTGAGTGCAAAATTTAAAGGGGGTGTCAGAGTAGCCAGACCTTTCCACCAGAATGTAGAAAACAAAAGCTTAAAAATTAATATTTCATGTAAAAGAGCAGCCCATAGTGCCCCTCCCCATCAGTTCTGCCCTCTTTTCACCCCTTCCTCCTCTGTGCTCAACAACTGGTGAGGCTGAAGCTGGTTGATGGTGTGTAAAGAGCACAAAGACACAACCTGAGGAAGCATTAATTGCAAGAGAGCACTGGGAGAGTAAAAGCTGCCCCCAAAGGACAGCCTGCTCCAAAGTGGATGCAATGTGTGTGGCACATGTGTCACTGGTCTGTAATTTGGTGGGGCTGAGATGATGTGTTTCTTCTGAGTCCATGGCAGTGTAGGCATGGGAACACCCACTGTGATACCTGCCTGGTCAGCCAGAAAGATGAGAATGGAGTGTCTGGCTTGTGGAGACAGTCTAGGCTGGGAGATGGAATTGTCTTGTTTTTTATGCAAGGAAGTTTGGGTTTTGCTCTTTGGTTTTTTTTACCATATCCAGTTAAATATAGCCTTTTAATTAAGGATAAGCCAGTGTTTCTACCACAAACTCATAAAGAAACCCACTAAATTATTTGTTGGGTTTTTATAAAACAGGCAGTCTCTTGAGAAGAAAGGTCTAGGACTAAATTAGCAAGAATGCTGCAGGTCAGGTTTTAAGTATTGCATAGTGAAAGAATTGTTTGGGAAGGTTTGCCTGGAATTATCATTCTGCTATCTGAGTTACCCTGCTGAAATCACTCAGATTATTTAAGTAAAAAGTGTCTTTCCCTAATCAAGAATTTTCAGGGTCTTTTCTTGAATAGTGAGTCCATTAAAGCAGAGCTGCTTTATTACTAAAGCCTTAACTGAAATGCTGTTATCCAGAGTGGTGTGTAACAATCTTTTCTCAATAACAAACTTTTAAAAATGTTCCTAAATAAGCATGGACAATATGGTGGCATGAAATTTATGATTCCTTTTTCATTAAGTGGTGCATTTCATCTTCCATACATCATTCCAATCAGGTAGGGGTGGTGTTTTTTCAGCTATAAGTCAGTAGTTTGATTTTATGATGGTTTTATGCCAGTTCTTACAGTATATCTGCCATTGAAGGATGGTTCATTTTTAGGCATAAAGATTATTATAACAAGGAGGGCAGCCAAAGATGATCAGCCATTTTAATATAATAGTAGTTTCTGTGCAATGCATATCATCTAGGTAGTTAGTTCTCACGCAAAACTTTCATGACAGCTAATGGAGCACAGAACTTAGCTGTGATCCAACTAAAACCTGAGTGAAATCCTGTTTATTCATTCAGACAGAATATTTGCATTCTGTAAGTGTATAGGAAGGTTTGATTGACATTATATCAAGGTTTTTGTTTCCTCAATGCTCACTCCTCTTTCTCAAAAGAAGTGCGGCAAACATATCCAAAAGATATGTTCAAAGGAACTCTGGAGCCCAGGCAATCTCTGAGAGTCCATGGGACACTCAGAGTTGTGAGCCTGGTGAGTTTTCATGCTACAAATGTTGAGAAAGCCCTGGTCAAAGTATGCTGCCATTAGCTTTGGGGTCTGTAGTATTTTTGATTCTTTGTGGTTAGCCACTATGTGTTCAGAGTCTGGGTTAAAATGTCCTTATTTTCTGTGTAACTGAGAAGTTTGTGCCTTCTCTTCAGCCTATATCTTCTGTTTCTTTCTCAGGAAACAGATTTAAGGCTAAGGTAATACAAGAATTGGTAAACATAATCTAACAGATAGATTTTGATAAAAACAGCCCACTGAAATTATTGTCAAACTATACAGAAGAAAAAAAAAGTTTAGAAGTCTGTTTGAAGAAGTAATATCAGTACCTTTAATTCAGTTTGTAATTATCTAAAAAACACAACACAACAAATACCAAAAGCCCCACATCCAAAGCAGAACATATCCTTATATATATACAAAGTGCTTAAAAATTCCCAACAGTTTGAACACACTACATTTGAAGTAATATTTAAAAAGTTGGCAAGACTAATCCTTTTTCAGCAATGTGTTATGCTGTTGAATAGTTTTTGTTTCCTGACTTAGAAACTGATTATGCATCCACTGAGCATAAAACTTAAAAGTAGTGAGCAAAGTCCAATCAACGTTTTATAGAAAAGCACAGGAGTCACTGCCAAAGCGTTGTAGTTCTGTGAAGCTGTGCAAGTGTTCTGGCTTGCTTAGACTGACTTCTCTGTGGCCCAGGCAGACTTTAAAGTTTAGAAATCTTCACTTTCACTTGAAAAAGCTTCCTGGAATACACAGTAAGTAATCCTTTTCGCTTCCCAGCACATAATAATAAGTCCAAATACAATTTGAAAAACTAAGAACCTTTTAAAATGTCAGAAGCTCCTTACAAGAATTAAAACAAGGAGATGATGAGTGGGATGATGGAGGTCTGTGCTCTCTGTAGGGAAACACTCAGAGCACCCGTGTCCCTTGGAAATGTGGCTGCACTGCCAGACTGGGTATTCGTGGATGATCTGAATGCAAGCTTTTACTTCTCTCTCTTGACTCTGTGGGAAATTTAGGCTCACTTAATCCCTACCTGCAGACCAAAATTCTCAGCTGTGGTGTCATCCTCAGGTCCCCTCCCATGTGCCCACATCATTAAAGCTGGAGGTGGTGGTGACAAGATGTTGTAATTTATTAAGCAGTCAGACTGAGTCTTAGCTGATGTTGCCACTTCAGGTAGGACATAGGAAACCAGCAGATCCTGTATGTTCCTCCTGAGGCTCTCCACCCAGAGTGTATTCAGCAAGAGGCATATGAAATCTGAGGCCATTTGCCTGCACCAAAAGCTCAGCTTGCCCAGAGACATCCCTCACATCTTTGTTCACCCATTTCCCAAGTGGTGCATGTACAAATGTACAGGTACAAAAAAACAGTGCAGTTGTAAATTTCTGCATAAATTAAAATACTTCACTATATCAGATGTCTGATTTTTCTATTCTTCAAATTTATGAAGAATTTTATTTTATGCCAAACCCATTTGTATGGCCATATGTTGATTTTTCAAGGCAGGCTTATAGAAAGTTATCAGATTGCATGATCACCTTGTCTGTCATGCAGGTGGCTTGGAAAGGAAGTGTGAAAAGTATAATTCAATCTGAGTATAATTTATGAGAATGATGTATGTAATAATGTTTTAAGAAATCTGCATCATCTAGGTGGTGCTGAAAAGATTCTGCATTCTGTTGTCATTTTGAGAATCTTTAAAGTGAAATGCAAAATATAAAATAGAGTGGGTCTGTGAAAACCTTAATGTTGTGTCCTTTGCCTCATCATAAGCAAGTGGTTATATATGGGAACTCTGACAATGCTATTCAATCTCAGTTCATGCTTCTTAATATGTGTTCCATTGCTGTTAGAGGTGTTAAATTACATTAAAGGAAACTTTCCAATTACCTAGCCTAAAACAAGTCCAGTTAGAATGTACAAAATACTGTATATTTTCCTAAATATTCTGAAGCAGATTCCAAAAAATTCCTCTGACTGTATGTGTTCCTCTTTTCTAAATACTTCTAGCATTTACAATTATTGTTAGAGAGATCACCTATTTGAAGACCAAGACTATCAGTTCAATTGTCTTAACGAAAGACTAGTTCTATACTTCCAGCATATCTCTTTTTTTGACAGCATTTAAATAAAACGTGGATGTTTTCTTCATTGTTTCATTATTTTAATTTATTTATTGAAGTATCTACACCGACTTCTGTTGCTTGATGTTTGTATAAATGGTAATGTAAGTTGAGCTAACTGTTTAGTGAGGAGGATTCACTCCCTGTCTCTTTAGACTATCATCCTACAAATGCTTATATGATTTACTTGGCATGTATGTATAGCAGGTTTTCAATTAAATGAATATTGATGGAAATATTACCCTAGGTTATACAATAATCAAAGATTGGTTTAGTTCTGTTTTGTGGAACACCAAATGCTTTATTGTGACTTAACTATTAAATATGTGTGCAGCTACTTCCAGTGCACATAATTCATAGTTTTATGTGTAAAATAAACTGCATATTAATGTGTGATATCTGTGCATGAAATTTGCAGATAGTAAGAAAAAGTGCAATGTTAATGGTATATCTTTATTTTGTAGCTTGGATCATCCTCCTCTGTGCCTTTTACATCCATATTCTCGCAGCTGTTTATGACTGTTGTAGTCCCTCTTATTATTGGACAGGTATGTCTTTTAAATATACATCTTATTTAAAAAAACAAGATAAAGAGAGCTATCTTAAAGACAGACTGGAAACCTGATAAGCTGCCACATAGGAACAGCCTCAGGATACTGAAGTCTAATATCAGGGAAAAGATGCTACAGTGCTCCCTGGAGCCACATTGATCTTTGTTGAGATTGAGCATCTGTCCCTCACTACCACAAACATACGCTGCTGCAGAGCGAGGAGGGAGCTCGTGAACATAAAGTGGGAAAAATGGCAGCCCAGGCTGTGAGAAATTCCAGCCCCATACAAATGAGCTTTGAGACTGCTACACAGCCCTTTTGTCACATGCCCTTTGCCTGGGGGTGAAAGAAGTCCTTCCTCCCTGTGTAGTATCTGCTAATAATTACAGGAATAAAAAAAAAATCACAACATTAATAAACATATAAAGGCTAAGTGGTCACAAGTTAAGAAATCATAAAATTAAGGCTGCTCAAGCCATTTTGCTTATGCTTTGCAATAAGGGGTTTAATTGCACACCTCCAAACTATTTTTACATTACTTCTCTATCATGTTACACCGTGTGAAAGATATTTGTGAAATGAGCAGCTGTTCAACATTTAATTTTATACTCATTATTCGTATGCTCACACAAAGCCTTATTTTTCATGGCATGTGATAGAAAACTTACATAATGTAAAAAATGCTAATTGCATATATAAGATTTTCTGTGATCCTTGTCTCTGTAGTGTCTGTTTGTTCACAAATGTTAATATTAGTTATTTTTTCTCCCATGTCATGGTGGGAAATCACAATAGTAAGACCAAAAGTTATCATAACCGTTGTTACTGTTCTTGGACACTAAAGCACCTTAACACTGATTTTTACTTATATGTAAGTATTTGTTGTTCTCGGGCATTTGGAATGCACAGAGGGAATATCAGTGGGATTTGCAGCTCATTCTAGCATGCAGCAGAACTCTGGGTTCAGCTAGAACCTTCTGAATTTTGTCAGCCTAAAGCAGACTTTGAAGTGGAAGGCATGGTTAAAATACAGGCAGATGAGAGCAGAGGCTGTAAAGGAGCACCCTGGACAAGGTTAAGAATGTCTGTCATTGCCTGTGCTACATAGGACGTTCAGTCAGTCTTGTATCAAACTATAATTGCACATTTCAAAATTGGCATGTACTGAAACTTAACAAATTCCTAGTGAAGTTTCTTTTGTTTAAAAAAACCACATTGAAGTCTAATAAAGGGATCAGCGTGATAAGCATGACAGTAGTCATCAGCATCAGCACCGGTGTAACCTCTTGCAACCATATAATCTAGAAAATGGACATTAACTTTGTGTCCCTGAAGACTGTGGAACTGCTCTCATACTTTGAATTAAATGCCAGTGTTTCCTTATTAATTAGGACAAATGTTTGCTGATTAACCTACCTCTGTATTGTGTTCTTACCGCATCAAAATAAGTGTCCACCAAAAGCAGACAAGCAAAAGTACTTGAATACTCTTCTGAAAGGTCCAAACACTGGAAGCTGTTAGTTGGAAGCCTTAGGTGGTCATTTCTAGGGAACAAATGCATGACAGCAGATTTAGCAACAGTGCTATAGCCATGGAGTATCAGCATCTGTGCTGCAATGTCATAAGCCCAAAGATGAGGTTCATTGCTGGACAAAGTGATGGCAAAATTTCAGGAGAACTGTAATCTGTATGTATAATGGAATGTTACTTTGGAAATATGTTATAGGAAATGGATAAGTCAGCAAATTGGTGGAGTTGGGTGTTCTCTCAGCTGTAATAAGTGATAAAGCTGAGTATCATGAATGGAGCAGGAGGCATATGAAATAAGTGCTCTGTGTGATAATAAGGTCGAAATCAGAATTGTGATTCTGATTGAAATGGGATTTAGGAGTTTTGATAAAACTGAAAGAAAAAATAGGTAATCTTAAAGCTTGTGTAACCCAATGACAAATTAATAGTTTGGATTTTTACAAATACGTTTCAACAAGAAATAGGATGATTCTTCTTTAAAAGTCTTTGAAGCAGTTTCTGGAAGTGAAAGATCAGCAAAAGTAGCTCACATTCCTCTAAGCATAAAGACTTTGTTTCTTGAGTTACTGCACTTGACTTTATCTGTTCAGAGGATGTGGAAGAGAAGAAATGCTGATGAAAGCTACAGATCAGAAATGCCAATAGTTTACAGTGATTGTCTTGATTAGGTAGAGCTGTACAAAGGTAAACCAACCTGCCCAGAGAAGAATGAATAGAAGCCATTTCTGAAGGTGGATATCTAAAAGTAATGGGCAGGAGTCAGGGAAGATAATAAGCAAGGAAAGGATTGATACCAAGAGATGCACTGATAGGTCTCCTTGCCCTTCATCAGCTCCAATTAAATGGGAAGTTTTGCCCTTTGTTCATAGACCACCACTGACTCATCACTGAAGTGTTGCCCAGCATGTGGCACAGGGACATGTTTGTGAATCACAGGTCACTCACTCTGGGGTTCCAGATGTGTTAGGGGATAATGGCCCACAGTTCCTGAATGATGCCTTCTGCAATTAATTTGAGTTTATCATTTAAAGCCCACAACATCAATTCCTTACCACATGCAGCCATACTGTTCAGCAGAAAAAGCAGTGGAAGAATGCCTGGTAAGGTTACTTGGTAACAAAGAGCTTGACTAGGGGGGGAAAAAACCCTCAAGCTTGAAACCTGCCTGCTTGGAGGATTGCCTCTCCTCAGCCTTCCTAACTCATCTCTGATCAACGGGGGCTTTATGCTCGAACCACATTGGTGTAAAACAGAGGAGGCTGCTTAAAGGAAGTGTTCTCCAAGGGCTTTCTTTTCCTTTAAAAAAATCTTGCCTCTGGGAAAACCTGTGTTGCCTAAATGCTCATTTCCTGAGCAGGCTGCAGAGCTGGATGTTTGAGCAGCCTCTGGGATATAAGCAAAGCACATAAAAAGGTGCTTTTAGATTTGTTTTGTTTGGGGTTTTTTTGTTTGCTTTATGGCAAAACATATCAAGAGTTTTGGTTGCTTGGCTGTTTGTCAGAATTTTTGATGATGGCTGGGAGAAAGAAGTCACAATAGTGAAACTGATGCTTATTTTCTACTCATTTTTGAACAGTTTTTTTAGCTTTTTAGGACTACTATTGACAGGATTCAAACATGCTCTTCTAGCTGCTGACATTGAAATGTGTAAAAGGCTGCAGGAACGGGCTCTGCTCAGATGGTGGACCATTCTTTAGGGAAAGAAAGAACTGTTAAAGGAAGAAGAAGATACTATGTTATCAGGCACTGAGTCTCACAGATAGCAGTGATTGATAAATGGTCCCCAGTAAGAATTTCTCCATTCTTTGTCAGAGACGTGCAGGTTGTCTGATCCTAAAAAATGTTGTAGCCTGTGTCCTCAGTGTCTGCAGATGTGTTCTGCTAATTGACAGACTGGTGTTACCCAAATCAATATTGATAGTATAATATTGCATTTGTATTTGTAAAGTAACAAATAAGACCCCTCTGACAAGAGGTCTCAAAAAGGGACTTAATCTATAGCATTTTATAAAGATCTAATTTCCTATAAGCCTTGAAAATCTGTACTGGGTAAGGGCTTGTTATTTGTGCATCACTCTTGTATACCTCTAAGGGGAATTTGAGAATACTTGTTATACAATAAACATGGTAATAGATATTTCATGGAAAAGATTTTTGAATCTGCTCTGGCAGCTTGAAATTCTGATTATTTTTTATCTGGGTAGCAGAGTCCTGGGTACAATTGCTGCTCTTGAGCTGTTGTGATTTTGCTACAATCATTGTTTCCCTGCCCATAGATATTGGTAATACTTTTAGCCATCAAAATGTAAGGTTTTGAGAAATATCCAAGCAGTTTCTTCATGACCAGTTGTGAGATTTAGCCAGAGACTGTTGTTTCTTTGCTTATTTTTTTCTTCTGAAGTGACAGATAACAAGAGCAGTGAAACCCACCACAATATTTTCTTTCCCCTTTTTGCAGACTTTCTTCGTTCCCTACACCTAAGTGCTTATGACAGACTTTTATTTTATGTTTTATATTAAAGAGCAATTTATGATTAAATGTTAATGAAATAGAATTTTCACTGTGCTTTCATTATATTCTACTAGTTTGAACATTTTTCAAAGCAGCACACCAAAACCTACTGTTTTCTATGAATAAATAATAAAAAGCTTGTCTGTACATTATCATTCATGCATTCTCTAGTTGCCCCATTGGTAATTTGTCTGCCAGCGTAAAGTGAAGTGGGCACTTCACATTAAACAGACCTTAACTAAAGCTAAAATTAGTATTATGATTCTGTGTAGTTCTTCTTCACAAAGCTATAAAATGAAACCAGTTGTACAGAAATCCTCACTGAATCTAGTCACACACAAAAAAAATTGTGATGTCCTACAAATAAAGGATCTTAATTGCCTTCTGCATCATTGCCCAAAATGTTCCAGAGGAGCCCTATCAGCATTTGGGAGCTGTGCTTATCAACCAACACAAGTCTAAAAGGGTGCTATGTTGCAGTACAAGTTGTAAGTGAAATTGAAACTAAAAAGCTTAGCAAGGTATTTATTTTTAAAGAATGAGAAACGGAAAGGGGAAGGCAGGTGGCAGTTGATAGGAAGTAGAAGGAACTATTTAACTAAGGTGGGAGAAATAAAAATTAACAGAACTGTTATCAAGAAAAGTGTCAAATCTGTCTCTTCTTGTAAATGAAATCCACATTGAAGTAGCCTTAATTATCTTTAAACTCCAGGAGAGCTGCAGGGAGGAGAGACCTGGGAGATGAAGTCTCCTAGGAGCTTGTTGCCGAGGACCAAAGAAGTGCATAAACAGCCTTCAGAGCACACTTCACTCCCTACTAACCCCTGACTTGGGCAGGGAACAGAGCCTCCTTTCCACAGAAGGCAAAATATGAGGAGAGGTATTGCTGCTGCAGGCACCCTTCACATTTTTTACCATGTTGCACCTGTTTATAAGGTTTTAAAACAACAGTTGC